CCAGACATTCACTCAATAGTAATGTATATTTTTATGAAATGGGATATCAATCAAAATTAGCCCAAAATGTTGGCTGCAATGAAAAGACAATGGGTATATGTCATGGATCTGATCTGGTGTTTGTGTCCGGAGCGCCATTCATGTACCCAATGGACGGCTACACTACACGTGACATGCATTTCAGCGCACAAGTGATGAAACTATGGACTAATTTTGCCAAATATGGGTATACTTGATAACAATGTGTAACTTTTAGACTAGTTTTGCGTATAATTATGTTTGTTTTGTGTTTTAAATTGCATTCCTCGTAAGCAAACCAAACGATAATAATTGGCCACAACTGATGGCCCGTAAAAAGTACAAACAATTTGCCGACGAAGTGATGCATTTAACCGCCGATCGTAAAAATTATTTGATGCAAAGCCCTTACGAAGACATTTGTGAAGACTTTTGGGAAAATTACTTTTTATAAATAATTTATTTATAAAACAGTTATATAGAACCAGCTTTAAAAATATGTTACCATATTGTTTTTTTACAAAACTAATTGACCCTGATCCTGAATTAAGTTAGTAAATAAAATTTTAATAATTTCCAATAAATTTAATATTGTTTTGATATTTAAGCAACATTTAAATAAATGATAATTTAAACAATATTTTTAATTAAAATATTTCTAAAAAATTTTAAACTCAAATAAACCCAAACTTAAACCAGGGGTTAATACGGGATATTAAAAACACAAAATGCCCGATCGAGACATTAGACGGCCCGATAGGGTAGATGTCAGGGCACTCATTGACTACTATGAGGATCTGAACCGAGGAGACAATACACAATCTGTGGAAAGAATATCACCGGATTGGCCGCCACCGCCAACAGCCAGCGGCGCAATGGGTTGGCCCTCAGGGGCCGGTCCGTCAACACAGTCCCTTCAAATAAGGCAACCCTTTCCCGTCGGTCGGCAGCGATCGCACTCATTCAGCGGTCCAATACATTTGCCTCCATATCCGCCTCACTATCCAATCGACACACAGTATGGGACGGGTTTTGTGAACCAATACCGGGACCCAAACACAGGTGAACCCGATTGGGGTCGTATGCGACGGCCAGAGCAGGTGAATCCGGGAAAAGGACCACTCATTGAAGATCTGGACCGTCGGAGTACAGGAATGGGCCGCTATTTGGCCAAACAGTCCCGATTGACAACAGGCTCGGGTCAGTTGCACCTGAGTGGCCAACAGGACAGGCAAAGGCAATACTTGTT